CCAATTATGAGCTGTTGGCAGTGGCGTAGCTAGTAGTTTACCTATTGTGAATGTGGAAGTCGGAGACGCACCCAAGAAGCAAGATTAGATAGTTCCCTGTAGCCGGTGCTGATTGCGACGCTGTCGACGATGGATAACAAGTAAAGGACCAGTCGATAATGTGGAAGATTTCGGTGGAGGTCGTGTTCGAGTACTCGGATTATGGCAGTTTTGAGGTACAACGAAGTACCACCAAACTGTGGTGGTGAATGCTCTGGTCCTCCATGGGCCGGCCAGCGAGGTGCTTATTGGTGAATACTGGGTGCTGGAACGACAGGCCAAGATGGCCTTCGGCAAGAGAGAGCTCAAGTATCGCAACGAGATGGGTCAAAAGCCTTCCCGTCGCTGTTGATGACGGCGAATCCGAAGCAGACCACGGTGCGATTGACCTGTGGAACTAGCAGCGAACGCAAGGAGCGTCGTGCGTGTAAAAACGGTCGACGCTCATGACGGGTCAGCGGGGGACTTCCTACCAAAACCTACGCACAAACGACATGTACTATTGGCACCGACTGTGAGCGTCGTGAGGGATGGTGAGGCAAGTGGGATCATGCTGAACTTATAGAGCAAGTGAGAGAATTTACCCGCAAGGTCGGAGTTAGGCACATGGATGCTCATGGATGAGAAATGGAGCGCGAGGAGGCGGCTGCACGGATGATCAGAACAACGTGAAACTATTATCGTGCGAAGATGATCAGAGCATCAGTGAAATGGAGCCGGAGAATTGCGCGTTGGTAGTCAGTCGTCCTTATGCGTGCACTTTTGAAAAGAAGCTCTATAGTTCGGCTGGATGCCCTTTGGTTTTGAAATGCCCCGATCCCATTCCAGCAACAGATAGACTCTGTACATCGGAGACTGACGTGGGTGAGCCGTCTTGTGTATCTGGACGACGTGAATGTGTCCACCAAGGACTCAGTGGCAAGACATGTCGTGGAGTTGGCTGTAGTGTTAGAGCGACTGGCCGAGGCTGTCCAAAGTCTCAATGTGAGCAATTGCAGTTTAGTAGTGACGATGATGGCGTATCTGGGGCATGATCTATCGTCCGAATGCGTTCGACCGGTGGATCGACTGGTTCATGCCGTACAGTACTTGCAGAGGTGGCTGACGTCCGTAGATTTTATGGCTACTACAGGAAGGTTGATCGCAGATTCTGGAGCATTAATGGCTCCACTAACACACTTGTTACGAAATGAGTGCATGTGGGAATGGGCGGCTGAACAACAAGGTGGAGCCGAATGGGCAAAGGCTCAGCTCTTAACGTAACCTGTATTACTTTATCAAGACTACAAGCTGGCGTTCAAGCTAGCTACAGACGCGTCAAAGGCCGGCCTTGGTGCAGTGTTGTCGCAAGATTAGGACCACGGCGATCAACTAGTTGCGTCCGCGTCCAAGTCAAACGGCCGGGACTTTTTTCCGCGTGCGTTTTCGCGGTTTTCCGCGTGTGTTCAAGTCGACCTTGGTTTTGCGCGTGTGGTGTGGTTATCCGCGTGTCGTTTATGTGGATTTCCGCGTGTGGGTTTCCACGTGTGGTTTTTAGCGTGATGCATTGATTTTCCGCGTGTGATACAATCAGTGTTTAAATTATGTGCG